CTGTGCGTGTATCTGTTCCTAAAAATTTCAGTTGTTGCTTGGGCCTTTAAAGATACTGTCCATCAAGCTCTGATTTTAAAAAAAGCCCCTCACCATGTAAAAGAGGAGAAAAAAAGCGCCACACCTAAAATGAGTGGAATAGTTCCAAAACCTTATTTGAAACTTCTGTTCTGCCTTTCTAGGGGAGACAGACGCTTTGAAAAACCAGGGCGAAAAGATCCAGGTATGGTTTTGTTACTGTATGGGCAGAAGGTGGGAGGGAGGAGCAGGGTGTGTTTTGGGGAAGGGACCTATATGTACACAAACCTTTCTTACTGCTCGAAGTATATTGTTGATACAACATTCATGATACTGTGCTAGGATACCTAAATGTGTTCCCAAAGTGTTGTGTTTCTTTTTTTTTGTATTTTGTGTTGTTTTCACTGTTAGACATTTAAATGTTTTAGATAAGAAAAATTAGCAGTACGTAGTTCCTGTTTATTAAATTGTGATGTCTACAGCTGGAACTAAATTCCTGAACTTCTGAACAGAGTCTGTACTGATTAACAGGTGTGCTGTGGCAATATGCTTTTTCAGTGCGGCTTTTAAACAGTCCTGGTGTGTGCTATTTTGGTACTTAGGACGTCTGGACCTATTAATTTTTTTGAATGTGAGGTAGATCCAAGGAGCAATGTTCTGAGGTTCCCATGCTGATGGATTTACTGTCTGCCAAATTAGTTTAAGTCATCATACAAATCTTCTCTTCATGCAGGTTATCAACTGGTCCCCCTCCCTGCCATTCCTCTCCTATTCTGTTTCTTAAATGCTTCACACTGGCCATGTTCAGGCAGAATACTGGATCCTTAATTGTCACCCAGTACATCTGTTTGAAGGTTCAGCTGAGCTTGGAGTGGGCTATCATCTTGGAGGTGGAACATATTGATTTAAGTAAGATCTGTATTCTGAGAGTGGTAAGAACATTCAGGGCATTCTCTATCAACTGGTTGTAGCTGCAGCGATTTTCTGCTTTGTGGGATCATGCATTGATTGCTTTCTGACATGACCTCACTCTCCGTGACATGTTTCTACATGCATGTACCACAGCTCTGCTTAGTGAGAGGTTTTGTACTAGTAAAAGCTTGCTGACAATGAGTTGTCTTTTTAGGACCCAGAGGATCTTTTGGTCTTGGCTAAATATCCTCTTTAGTGAACACATTAATAAAACATAGGTCTGAAAAGACAATTGCAGGTTGAATTTCAAGACAAACAAAACCAAACGGATTCAGTTGCAATTAAAAGTTGACAGGAATGTATTTTAATCCTGGCTTAGCTGTCCATATTTTTTTGTGAGAGTACCATAAGTTGCTATTTTCATATTTTTCCAGATTACCATGGTGGCACATGCTTTATGAGTCTTAAATTACCACGTTTGTTTTTAAAGCGCTCCCAATCCTCTCTCCATTTAAACTGTGTTTTTATTTTTCTACTTTTTCAGTTGAAAGTTAACACAAAACTAAGATGTTGCTTGTTTTCCTCATTGTTTTCCTTAAAAAGAGGTTACTTCTAAAAATAACTTGAGATTGGTTTGAGATTTTCCATCTTTAAATGCCAATAGTGAAACTTTGGACTTTCAGTGGGTCCTTATATTCAGAGACCCTTTGGAAAAAAATGAAAATGGAAAATAAAAAAGGAAAAGTACTACTGAGATTTCAGGACTGCATTTTTTACAAAAGACAAATGGATGTAAAAGTAGTATCTGCCACAGTTGATTCCATTTTATTTATTTAGCCCCTTTCCATTCTTGTGATTATAACACTTCCAGATTCAGACTATAGAATGTACCACATTTCTGATTAAGACCATGACAAAAATAATGCATCTCAGTTTGAGATGTATCCCTCTGAAATTGAGAAGAATTCACAGTATACAAGATGTCCTTAGTGAAGCTGACTTCTACCTGAACGTGGGGGTTAATGCTTTAGCTAGGATAGAGCATGTTGTCTTTGTAACGACTGCTGGTGATTGGGACTTTGGCATAAACTTTCTGTGAACCGTTTCCCAGAGAAGGTGATGTCCCCCTGCGCTATGTTGCAAGTCCTGGTTCGTTGTGAGGGATGATGTGCTTATTCTCAAATCATGAAGCTTTCTGTAATATTTGATTGCTCCTCATAAGTTTCTTGTTCTATTTCTCTACTGGTTTGATCTTACTCGGCTAAAAGCTGTGTAGCACAGTATGATAGAGTCAAAAAACTTGCAATCTTTCTGAAGCTTTAATATTAAATTGTTTTAACAATAGTAATTTATAGTTGCATATTGCTGTGCTAGAGATTCTTGTCCCAGTAAGTGGGAGGACCATTTTTCTCCTCTTTACCTTCAAAGAGAAATAAGGTGGAGAGCACAAAAATGTTAAGAGAAAGTGTTGGTCTGTTTTGATTCAAGTCTTGATTAATGAACAAATAGTTACTGTTATGTAAAGGCTTTCCAATGACAAAATATTTTGAGTGTGAGATAGGGGTAGAGATGTGCCAGGAGTCCCACATTAATACCAAGCACTAGTATACCACACAAAGCAGTGGAAGCAGAAAGATCAAGGAGTGACTTGACACGCAGTTTATAATTCAGGCTAACATGCTTTAGCAGGTGCGCATATTGGTTTCTGTTACCCTGGTTAAACTCCTTAATTTAGGATTTTATTCTCCAGTGTTATCGTGCTTCAGTTTTTCATTGCTCTTTCATAGGGCCTTGGATTAGCCTCAAATTCCATAATTTACTGAGTTGCCAGCTTTTTCATGTTCTTTGTTCTGGGTGATCATGTTACAGAATTAATAAGAGATCCAATATTAAACTCTTCTGGATATTCATAATAGATGACAGTACAAGAACCCCTCAATTAAAAATCACGAGATTAGAATGTAATAGACCTTCAAAAAAAAAAAAATTACTTCTCAAATAGGATCAATATCCTGTTCTTAAAAATTAATGATTGCTTTTTTGGTGCTTGCAACAGTTTGCAAGTTCACATTTGACTGATTCTCAACATAAACAATATCTGTTCCTAGTTTCAGTATGCAAATTGAAGATGCGAGTTTCTGTTGCAGATTGTCACAGTTCTGACAGACTTCATTGAGAACCCAGATTGCTTCTGGAAGGGTGAGGCCATTAGCAAAGAAAATAAGCAAGTTGTTTTCTTGATCATGGCTGTCTTTTAGAACTGCACAAAAGCCGCTTAATTTTCTGTGCAGCCTCTTGACTAATACCAGCGTAGTAGCTGAGGGCACTTGATTAGTTACCAGCAATTACACACTGCTAGTAAATAATTGTAATGTAAATTAAACCAGACATTTAGTAAGTCAGTTGTGGAACCTGACTGAGTTCTGTTTAATGTGTATTTTCTGGTTAGGTTAAGAAGACTAGAATATAGAAAGAGTGTTCAAGTGACTATAAGGAGGATGTTAAATTTCTTAGAATCGCAGTTTGCCTTACAAGCCAGGCAGAGTTTTTCTTCCCTACCTCGCTAGCAAGAGCTTTATCCAAGGAAGGTTCATCACCAGCTTGCTCTGGCAATGTTAGTCAAAGCGTAGTGTGCAGTTTTGCATCAGAGCCCCTCAGCAATTTTTCTCGGCTTGTATTCCAGTCTGGACCATGGCATATTTCCAGTGCTTTAGCAGACATCCATGGTTCACCAGTTCTCTGTAAAAGCAGTAGGGCTGTTTTGTCTACCCCTTGTTCTGCAGCTGTTGTGAAGTAACTACATGGTGTGTCTGTCTAATTTGCTTATGTAGTATTCTTCAGTTTTACATTCCAAAATGTAGTATTTGAAGATTGCATTTTGTGTATACTAAACATTTTTTTTTCTTTGTACGTGCTGTTGTACCCCCTTTAAACCACATCTATAAATAGAAAATGATTTTAAAAACAGAATGACTTTTAAAGCATCAAGTCATTTAGAAACCAAACAAAACATCCACGCTTTGATTAGACATTAATGGAAATTAGAAATAGCTTTGGCTCTAAATGGTGAGATTATAGTACCTTTTGTTGGGATTATGCATCTGAATTTTAGAACAATTGGTTTGTCTGAGACTGGAGTATGTGATATATAGGAAGACAATGCCTCACACAGAATACTACTCTTTTCTTAAAAGGTTATTTCAGACTTGACACAGGAATCTATTCTGCTGCTCTTGCACTGGATCTTCATAAGTAGGACTCTTCTCAATGTCTTTAATTGATAGAGAATATGGAAATAACACTTGCAAGAAGTACTTAAAAATTATCGGTACTGATATAAGGGTGGAAGAGGGATCTTTAGACTGTAAGTGGGTCAACAGCTAGGAAAAGTAGGGATGAAGGCAGTGTAACTTGATAGTGTGATGCTCTCCAAGCTCCACAATATTAATGACTGCTTCTACATAAAAATACTTAAAAAAAAAAAAAATACTGTGAGAGTATCTGTGATAAAACTAAATCTGTCTGAGGCTTGGAATGTGAGGAGGCAATACCTGAACAATTTTGGAATGAGAACTGAATTGGGATGAAGACACGGGCCTTCTGCCTTGTTCCCCTTCCCTGTGTGAAATGCTTCTATGGGGCTGCTTCCCATTTCCCCAGACCCTAAACCAAAGTAGATTTTTGCAAACCTCTTTAGGGTTGTGAAGACACTTCAGCTAAGTGTTTTGGGGCTTGAGAATAATTTAGTTCAACAGTATCTAATCAGGTAGCTTAGGACCATTTTTTCTGCTGCTGACCACTTCAGTGAGGTTAAAAGGAAGCATATTTGTTAGTGTATTATGCTGTTATCAATGAAAGTTAATATTTATGCCATCTTGGTTTCTGGGAAAGGTCTTTTACCTTTGAAAGATAACTTTTATTTTGATACTTGAGTGTTCAAGTATGAACAGGCAATAGGCACTGCTTTTGTTGAGAGCTTGGAAATAATCATCCATCATTCTGTTTATCCTTTAGCTTCTTAAATTATTTAGGAGCTTCAATACAGTGTCTTAATTGCAGTAGGTTTATGAGGCACTTAAATACAGAAGTCTCAGGTATGGTTTGTTTTAATTTTTTATTTTAAAATTGATTCAGGTGTCTCTAAATATTTTTGTGCTGTGTATACAGGCAAATATTGATGTTAAAAAGCATAAAATATAAATGGATGCAGTTCATTTATATAGTGCATCCTTCTGGGTCAGATCTACTTGAGGCAAGCAGCGCAAAGGTGAGAACATGTGGAATGTATGGCTCTTTTAAAAAAAAGTAATTTAGAATATCTGTTTTCCATTGCTAAAGAATTTATTCAGTGTTTCCAAATATGAAAAATTTTCCACTGCAGTATTTTTCATATACATCAAGATTTTTTGATAGTGTCTTCATAGACCTGTCTGGAAAGGAGATGTTCTCTTATTTGGCAGAATGAACTACAGTTAGTATTTACAATTCTGTTCATTAAGCACAGTAGGAGTGCTTTTCACTGCCATGAGAGATTGGCAGTACTTTCTAACAGTGGATTTAGCTGTCTGACAACTGATGTAACTCTGTATCCCCAAAGAGCGAAGAGAACAGAAAAGTTAGATCTTGCAAGAACAGAGTTGCTTATCCCAGAAGTAATATATTTACTGGATGCCCCATATTGGTTTTGACCGAGATTTTTCTTTTGTATTGTCCGTTTTGTCACGAGCTGGTTAATTATGATTTAGGTCAGTTTTGGGAGTGTTGAAGGTCTCTCATTTCAGGGTCAGTGCGGCTTTAATCATAGTCTGGTGAGTTCAGCAGGTAGCTCTTTTAATTTCCAAGAATTAGTACTGTGGTTCTTGTACCTGACTGTCCTGGGTGGTTAATCCAGCCTCTCAGTTTATATGGGCACACCGGTTCTTTTTACTCTGTGTATCATGTTGTAATCAAAAGGATGGGATTACAAGGTCACTAGAAGATGGCAGGGCAGGCAAGGAAGGAAGGTTAGGGATGGAACCTGAAAGTTTAACATAATAATTAAAAAAGCACAAAGTTCAGAGTCTGTTGCTCTCTCTATTCTGAGAGGCCAGTCTCGGAGAGCTGGAAGCTGTCAGCGTGCTGTCCGTTGATGCGGATCTCCTTGTCAGTCCTTTTTGGACTCTTTGAGTCAGCCGCAGCTGGGAGCTCAGGAATAGTCTTGTCAAAATTCTCCATCTTGATCTGATACTCACCTTTGGCGTTGCGGGCTAGCACGGCGGCGAAGCGATGGTACGGCATGATCTCTGAGGGGAGGTAGGATGTTCTCCTTTGACATGTTTCTCCTGTGCCCTCCTGCACAGCTGATAGAAAGACGACCAGCTCAAAATGCTGAGCAGCTTCTCTCTGGAGGAGAGCAGCCAGAGGGCTGGATGGAGTGATTAGGTGGTAATAGGTCAGTGGAAAGATGAAAAAAGGACACTCATTGGGAGTAACGCTGTCTAGGTGGAAGTCCACGCTAGTTTGGTGCAGCAGCCCATTCTCTTGTTCTTGGTAGAGTATAGCAGAAATCTGGACGCTAGTCAGTGGGCTGGAGCGTGTGTTGGCCACCTGGAACTTCAGGTACGGCTTCCCCTCGGTGTGTGTCACCACGGCAGAGCGGGTGAAGCGGATGGAGAATGCCCGGTTCTTTGGTCGGGCGATCTTTGCCACGAAAGCACCTACATTACAGGAAAGAGCAAACTGAGTACGAGCACCGTGCCTGGGTTGGTTCCCTGCAGCCTCTGAGCTCTCCAAAACAGTCCCAAGGAACAAAAGCGGGCTTGCGTGGACATGGTCTTTCTAGCCTTAGCCTGCATGTTTGAAAACTGCTAGGCTGGCATCACACTAACCCATTTTTGTTTAAAAAGTACAGCTTTCCTAAAAGGCTTCTTTTCCTAAACTATGTTCGTATTAATATTTGGAGAGTGAGCTGTAGCTGTAGGAAGGAGAGCTGTTAGCTTGCCCCAGTTTACTGTAATTGGTGATAGGACCTGATCTTGGTGTGCTGCCACTGGAGAAGCTCTTTCTTAATACACAGTAAACTAACCTGTGTATTTTTAGTCTTTTGGCATACTTTAAACCTGAAAATTATTTTAACGAACTGAAAATACCTTGAAATAGCTGTGATACTGTAAAAATTTTCATTGCGTTGGGTACTGAGGAATACCTAAACACTGAGTCAACAAAAATACTTCGTCTGGACAAAAGTAAACCTTTAAAATCAAACCAAATTGACTTTAAATATAGCAATTCCATGGAAAAAACTTGGAGAGATAATGACATAAGAAATAAGTGATTGAGAGTGGTAAGTGGGGATCTGCTACAAGTATTGTCCAGTGAATAGTGCAACTCTCAAGTCCAAATCGTGTTATCACCTAATTTGTCCTGTTAATGAAAGGTGTTTTACTGCTTCATAGCTGAAATCACATCATCCTTGTAGTGACTGACTTAATTGTTCTTTCAGATATCACTGTGATCACTGCTTATTTCGAGCTCTATTTCTTTAATTATTACACCTATTCTATTTAAAGAATAAATATGAAGGATTACCTGTGATGAAGGCTTCCAGCATGAGTCCCAGGACCATCTGTATTGCAAGCAGTGCAATTGCACTGGGACAGTCCCCGCTTGGGAACATAGTGCCGTAGCCAATTGTGAGTTGAGTCTCCAGTGAGAAGGAGAAAGCAGCTGTAAAACTGGTGATGTACTTGACACATATAGTATGGTTGTCAGGTGGAGCATCATGGTCCAGCTCCAGGTCCCCATTCATCTCAGCCAGCAAATACCAAAGCACTGCAAAGACTAGCCAGTGAATGACAAAAGAAGCAGAAAAGACAAGCATCATCCATCTCCAGCGCATGTCCATTAATATTCCCCATGCGTCTCGGAGGTATGCCAGACCTTTTCCTTGGGCACCATCCATCTGGAGCGTGCTGTGTCCATCCTTGGTCACCATCCTCGGGTATCTTTGGGTCAGGAGGGGAGCACTGGATTTGGTGTTATTGCACTCTGTCATATCTGTTGTCATCTTCTAGAAAAGAGAGAAAAGGAAAAAATGTGATACAGTGTAGCATATTTTGTATTTTGCCTAATGTTCACAGTTTTTGACACATCAGCAGGGGTTGAAATACTGCAGCCAACAAAGGAGGGCTTATACATTGCAATCCAGAGAAGATTAAGTCAGGAGCCTGGAGAGGAATTTACCACTGTTTGTGGTAATACTTTGCTAAAAAAGATTAGGTTTAAAAATTGGACTACTTCTGAAATTTCCCCTGCTTAGTTGTTTAAATATAACTTTCATACTTTACCTTCCTAAATTTACATTTGAGTTGCGTGCTGTAATTCTTTAGGGGTGAGTGGGATGAGATTAGGCATACTGTGTCTGAAAAGAAACTGGATTTTGTCTGATTATATCAGTTTCTCTAACTTTTTAGCAGAGTACAATAGTTTACTGATACTGTTACGAATACTATTAACAGTAGTACTATGGAAACATTTATTGTATTATTTCTTTTAACATGTTTATGCATTTTAGGGAAATGCTGTAGTTTACCTAGTAGCCCTTTTCGCACTTTTGTAGCTCAGGAAATTACTATCTGCATCTACCATGTCCAGTTAAGTGGAATTAGAGTATTCAAGGAGTCTGATGCTGTTTATGTAAGGAGTGGGTAAAAAGAGAGCAGGAGGAGACCGGTACTGAAAATATACTGTGACATAATTTGAAGTCTAGTCTGCCTAAGCAATGTATTTTTTATTAGTGACCAAATAAGAAAATAGGGCAGCAAGTGTATGGGGATTAGGGGGTGAAGGAAGAATTGTAAATGTGGGAAGCAAAGTGGATATTTGTAGGTATTTGACATGTTAGGTTCCTTTGTTTACTTTTAAACCTCAAAACTTGCCAAACTTGTCAGAGATGCTGAGTGTCTTCTGAAAAGACACTGGGTACTCAAATCCATAAATTTTATAAATACTGGATGTTCAAAGTTCACCTGGAACAGATAAAACTTAAATACGGGTTCATGGAAAATAGAGACTTTGTAACATGCACAACCTACTTAAAGAAGGTCGTGGGGAAGCTTATTTGTAGAACAACAGAGGATTTTAAAAATAAATGTAAGTTCTGCAAATCGTACGCATACATGGTGCATTTAGTCAATTTTGCTGCTTTCTCGTCACTTTTGACCTTTCTCTGAATTATGACAGTTTCAGTGTGTCATATGTGTGTACAATCAGGCTAGAGGAATTGGATTCCCCCTGCCTACCCCCCCCCCGTGCTGTCTTAGTTTTACCTTGAAACACATTAGATATAAGGATCCTGAACTTCAGAATGAATTTATGAAAAGTAAAAAAATCTTTCTTGTCATCTTTGATCCTGCAAGGCAGCAGTTTTCATGACTGTTTACTTGATACCAAGTTTTAGTAATTGCAGAAAATTCTCTTTAGCTTTTGCTTGTGCTTAATGAATACTGAAGTATGAGAATTGACATCACAGTGAATATTTAGCTAAATTTTTATTTTTCTTTCCTTCTGTAGGTTCTTAAAACCATCCAGCTATTTCTTCTATCCGTGCTGTAGTCAAAGGAGGTAGAGTTAGATGATGGCCTCAGTGGAATTTGTTGTTTTTCCCATCATTTTTATTTCCCAATTCACATCTCTTAGGAATATTTTGAAACGGCTCCCTGTGACAAAGAATACAGTAGGTTTACTGAGATTCTCCTGGTCAATAGTACCAGTCTACTTCTCTTGGGGGATTCTGATCATAGTCCCTTTGGTTTATAGCACGACCCCACATCCTCATCTGAGTTTGTTCTTTGGTCTGCTATATAGCTCTCCAAATGGCAGTTTTCAGTCTTGCTGAACTGTTACGGAATTTATAATAACCTGAATGCTATTTTAAATGCTTCAGGAACCAGATGATTAGTGACTTGTCTGTAGAGCAGAGTCCTTATGCTAGGATTTAGAAGAGCCCTTCTGGATGCATTGAAGGAGCTGGAAAACGGGCATCTCTGAATGGGAAGGATGATGGGGACCATGCTCAAAATGGGCTGTGGACAAGGCCTTGGTTTTATCATCTGAGTCTAAGCAGTACTCACAAGAAGTACTCCCTTGTTGGAATACAAGAGAACACTTTACAGAACAAAATGTCTCTGGGTGTAAACATCATGCATGCTTGAAAAAAAAAAAAAAAAAAACTAAAAAAAAAACTAAAAAAAAAAAAAAAAAACAAAAAACCCCACAAAACTAGCACGTTTGTCTAAATGCTCATGGTTCTCTGAGGGCAGCATCTGCTTCGTAGCCTCCAAATTGGGTTTACAAAACAAATGTATGTTGTGAGAATGAATTTGATACTGACTGATTCATGACAGAAGCCTTTTCTACAGTGTTACATTAAGAGAAAAAGGAAAATCGTTCTTAATGTGTTACATTTTTCTTGGCTACACTCTACATCTTCCACCCATCAATGCCAAGGTAGTGTGCTTGAGTGCCACAGACTCTACTCAGAGCAAAATGCTATCAGCATTGCAGGGTCTCAATTCAGTTGATTAAGGAGTTTTCTAGGGTGGTGATTAATCACTTAATGTTGACTTAAAGCTCTGAAAAATTTTAGTCAGTGTTCACTGTCAGGTTGTTTGGGATCTTTTCTATGGGGGAGGATCTTTTACTGACAGGTTGCAAAGGTACTTGAGAAAGATAACAGCCAGTAGCCCCCAGCAGCCCATTTCACGACAGTCCTGTCTGCTCCTTGAGACTCCCAGCCTGCTGAGGTTAACCAGGTTACTGCTCTGGTCTCATTTGATATAGGTCTCTGATCTTTTTCTTGTCAAGGACTGTTTGAAATATTAGGTAACTAATTTGTTGGCAGTGATAGCACTGAAAGTGTAAGCTTGAGTTCGAAACCTATTTTTTTGGCAAAAGCTATTGATGGCTTTAAGAGCCACAAGTCTCAGCTTCTTTGGGTGGGAAAAATGGGTAAGAAATTGCAAATAGACTCTGAGAGCAAGGCAGTTGGTTTAGAATAAGAGGCGAAAGAACAACTACCCAGTGAGAAATAGTTTACTCGGGATGGAGGATCAGCCCTCTGTATTCTTAAAAGCAGTCAATTTGAGAATAGATGTGACTTTGAACTTAAAAAGAATTACTGCCTTTTGTCTACTTCTTTCCTTGCCCATCATAGTAAAAAATACAAATACTTTCTTTCCTTGTTAGTGATAAATTAATGAAGTTGTAATGTACCATTCTGAACCATCTCATTCAATCCCCTGCCCGGTATGGTCCTTGGTGTCCCAGTTTCAAACAGCGTATGTTTTAGGAAAGACATTAAACTTTGACTTGAAAAGAAAAATTCTGCATTGTTTGTTGGAGAATACTTGTCTCCACTGCTAAACACATACTGTGTTTCTAATCCAGATTTGTCTAATGTAATCTCTTAACCTTTGTTATGCTGTTTGTCTGGTTTTGCTTTACCTGGTTCCTGACTTGTGAAACTGTTGTAGCTTTGGGATGTTCCTTCTCCCTCCGTTTCCCAGCTGATAGCCCTTGACTGGAAAGGCAGGAACTATCAGATACTACTTTTCTAACCTCTTTTGGCATGTTGACCAGTCTTTTATCATGCATTCAGTGTGTCTAATCCTTCCTGTTTCCAGTCTAATGAAAATTAAATGATTATCACTAACTCCAGTGTGTATGTAAGTTCTTAGCTTTTTTTTTTTTTGAAGCCTCTTTACCACCATTGTCCCTCATTCTGGCTTCTTTCTTCTATATACTCTTGTAAGACAAGTCAAGGCAGGGTGAATACTAGCTTTTAAAATCAAGGTCGTAGTTTCCCTTTTCCTAGCAGTCGGACAGGTTCTAAACTGACCTGGCTTGCTAGTGATTTCTGTATAATAAAACCTTGCCTTGCAGCTCTAGGATATTGCTTGCATTTCTGAAGTTCGTGATCCAGCATACTGATCTCCCAGACTTTGCCTTTTTGATTGAGATCTTCCTTGTGTTGTAACAGCTCTTTGTTATGTTGCTTCTTTATGCCACCATGTTGCTTTCCTCCTCACTTTTCTCTTGACAGCAGAATCTCGGCTGTTAGGACTCTGGTAGGATTGCAGGGGGACTCATTTGTAGCAGTGTCTTAATTTTCTTTTTGTTTGCCTTCTCAGTCAAAGGCATTTGAAGTGACACTTCCAGACTGTTTTCAGCTCAGTACACTCATGCACCTGCAACCTTTTTAAAAGCCTGAATGCCTTTATGTGGAGCTGTGTTCAGGGGAGACTTCTGCAGTGCTGCCTACCTGCCCAACTTCTGTTCTTAACAAAATCTGTTCTAATTGACCTTGGAAGGGATTTGAGGCAGTTTATAGTGCACTGCTTCATTATGACAGCAATGTAGTCGAGAGGACCTGCTGTTTGCTGGGAGTAACTGCAAAAACTGCTTACAACTGTAGCATAATTTGAAGATTTATTAGAACCCAGGTGGTGCTGGCATGCCCCTCTGGGAATGTGTACATTCCCTCTTTACTTGACCTGGGTCCACGTAATCTTGTACTAGTTTCCGATTTGAACATTATCTCTGTACTCTAAGCTGCAGTCATTCAGATGTGTTGCTGCCTCTGCACTTTACAACAAGAGCAAACTAAATTTATAATTTTTTTAAAAAGTACTTTCATGCTATTGAAATATCAGTATTGTTATTTTTAAATTGAATGGCAGCCCTTGAGGTGCTCTGATGTTAATATTAGGAAATTAAGTGTTTTTTCAGTATTGATGACATGACTGGAACATATAATTTAGGGGACAATCTTAGAAATGTAGGAAGTAATTCAGTTAGAACAACTGCTTTGGTTGAAGCCTTATGCTACAGTTGTTAATAGGATAGTTAAAGGACAAACATTTTTGACATTTTAGATCTGTAGCTAATGCCTCATTGAGATGAATGGGAGTAGTTTGAGCAAAACTGATTTCTCTGAGTAGTCTGCAGAATCAAGGTAACAGTTTTCAGGACTTGTTACATATAAAAGTCAGTCTTGTAAAAATGGGAACTTTAATTTGTTGAGCCTAAGTTCTACTTGTCAAAGCAAGTGCCACAAAGTACAAGATGAGAGAGCTCATACTTTTGACTTTCTGTGACAGTTTACTATAGAATGCACTTAAAAACAAACAAACAAACAAAAACAACAAAAAAAAACCCTAAACAAACAAAACCAATCTTCCCCCCCCCCCCCGTTTTGGTAAAATGGAAGAATATATCTTTTTATATTATAGTACATAAAGCAAGGCTGCTTTTATGTATTTGATTTTTGGGGACATCTGTAATGGTCTATTTTGTGTATAGGTATTTTCACGTAGTATAGCATGCTGAAAACACTGTGAGGATCCATATGAACCCTAATTCTTGGTTATGAAGTAACATCTGAGTGGACCAACTAGTCCAGCTACCTTTAGAGAAGCAGAAAAACTTTATGAAGACTTTGGTTAAATGTTGTTTAAGGCTTTAAAATATGCTAGTATATATTCAAACTTTATAGAGAAATGCAAAATTAAGTATTGTTAATGGATGAGTAAATTTACAGTTAAGAGGAAGGATTTTTATTTGACTGTAAGACTGTAGTAATAGAAGTTTGCTGCCATCCATTTTTTGGTGAGACTTGCTGTTTTTGAAGGGCAGTTCTGCCCTGTGTGATGCAAACTTCCCAGTGGCTTGTCTAGAATTACTGAGATTGCTAGGACCTTGAAGTTCATACTCGATACCTGTGCATGGTTTCCTGGGCAGCAGTGCTAGCTCACAGTGTGTCCATAAGTACAGAGAATGTATTGATTGCAAATGATTGAAGGTATGAGATCTAATTAGAGGTGGTAAGAGAGTCTTAAAGAGGTGAGGCTTGTTTCTTTAATATGTGATGGAGCTGAAGTTAAGTGCTGAGTTAAAATGGATGCAGCAAGAAGGTGAAGATGACCTTCTCATAACATTTGGCCAGGTAACACCTGGCTACCTCAGCTAGAGGCTTGCAAGTGCTTCCTGTTTGCAGAGTTGCAGAGTCTTTCCAGCACTGTTTTGCTTGAAAATTTTCTGAAAAAATACTGCATGATGGCTCTGGTTTTGCTCTGTATGCCATTAGGATTATGGTCATCTAAGAGAGCATTGCCTTCTTTTTGAGAGGGGGAAAATCAGAAAACGTTTTGTTTAAGCTAATACTTAAATTAGCAAGCTTTAGAAATAAAACTCTGTGCCCTGAATACAACTTTGATTTCTTTGATTAAAGAATGACAAAATTTCTAATTGTACAATAAGAAAAAGAAAAAAAAATAATTTGTGTACTTACCAGTCTTTGAAGTATTTGTGTGCAGGAGAAGGGGAAAACCTGGGCTCCAGGAGAGGGACCAGGCTGGTCTTGTGTATTGGTTCCAGCACTGGCAAGAAACTTCCCACAAGTGGTTGGTAGAGATGGTGTTTTTCTGTTTGTTTGGTGTTTTTTGTTTTTTTTTTTTTAAATCTAAAAAATGGGTTTGTATGTCTCATTCCTGTGTTTATAATGCTAAGGAGGGGTTGGTTTTCATCTGAAGCTGATTTGATTGGTCATTTTGCCTGTAGGGGGGCCGGTTAGCTCTGATCATGTGGAAAAGAATGCTGGTTTGTTAGGAGCGTTTCTGTACCCAACACAAACCCTTAGCAGCCAAGGAGAAATCCTCAAACACTTAGTTGGAGAAGGGGTGCCTTCCCCCTCACCTCCTTAATCAAGACCATTTTTTTAGGTTTGTATAATCTTAAAGTTTTACGCAAAAGTAGAAGAGGCCAAAATTCCTCTGGAAAAGCTGAATGGAAAAAGTTCTTGTATTGCTGCTGAAAAACACACTGTTCTCGGATAGTCTCTCCCTAACCACTGTCAACTACTGTTTGCTTAGGTGAAAAGAGAAACCCTTGTGCCTTGTGAGTACTTGTCTAGTGCCACTTCTTCCTCTTCTCATTAGGTCCCAAGCTCTAGAGTGTTGGTGTTAACGGAAAGGTGGGCTGCAGCTGATGGTACAGCCTGTGGGCTCTGGAGGGTGTTGCTGAACTGTAGCTTAATGCTGGTCAGAAGGTGTATATCTGGCCACTTCTCTTCCATCTCCACATTGCTCCTTTGTGAAAACATGGAATTAATCACAGGATTCTGCTAAAACCTAGGAATGAAACAATGCAGATTTAGGTGGGTTACTAATTCCATGCAGGAAATGAAACCACTTTCACTTAAGCTGTTTTCTCTCTCACTTATGAGATGAGAAGAGTTATTTAGGGTAGGTGTTTTAGCTGAATGACTGTGCAGAGTGGTCAGCGTGCTGCACTATTAAACAGAACTCTGAGGACAGCTTTGTAATGCAGTAGTATTTCACACTTTTTTTTTTTTTCCCTTAGTGAGCTGCTGATGTGAGGGCTTTGATCGAATGTCAGATGTAAGAGGATCTGAGAAACAAAGGCTGTGGTTGTTTGCAGTAAAACTACTGAAGGCCTGCTGGGAAAATTATTAATGTAGACTTTCCTGCTTAGGAAACAAAATCCTCCCTCTTTTTTTTTTTTTTTTTTTTTTAACCTTCCCCCCCAACCCTAAATTGCAAAACATTAATTCTTTGCTTCATTAGTATGGAACATTTTAATACATGTTCAGGCACAACACCAAAAATTGTCCTACAGGCTTGCCACAGTGGTGGGAGTCCCCTTGTGCTACACTATTTGCCCTCGTTCTGAAGGTCACACTATGCCTATGACAATGTGACTTGCCCTTCACCCTTCCCTCTACACTGCAGCAAAGTTGAACTTCCACTACAGACAGCCTCTTTTATTCATAAATAGGATTCTTTTTTTTTCAAACAGTATTTTCTTACAAACCATATTTATTAATACCCGTGTGGTGTCCAGTCACAGGTTTTCTAATCTGATTCAACTGAATGGATTGAAAATCTAACACTATTGCACAACAGATGAAACAGCTACTGTATGTGATTTCCAGGTGTGTGTTATGGAATTAAACTCTGTTGTTAATGCCTTTGAATTTACCGGTTCACCCATACTCATCACAGTGGATAATTGTCAAGTTAGTGAAAAAATACAAAGTGATACTTTAGTATGTTATTGAGAACTACTATAGACGTAGAGATTTTTCTGGAGAGAGAGAAAGAGTGAAGTTAGAAATTGGTGTCAGAACTTCTGATCTCTGTCACTGACTTGGGTATAAGTGAGTCACTTTATGATGTGTGTATTCCTATAGTGTCCCTAGCGGATCATACCGTGGCCCAATGAGAAGGTAGTTCTTTAGAAACATTACCTTAAGACCGTTTGTTTTATTGTTCTGTAAAATGAGCTACAAAATTACACATCTAGGCAAAGTCATTTGAATTCCTTTAAAAACACAAGCTGCGCAGGTTTTCATCCTCTCTTTTGAGGCAGCGTGTAGCACGCAGCAGAAAGAAGAAAGCAAGTCAAAGCACTTAGTAGACTCTAGTTTTTCCCCTCTTTAGAGGAAACAGTATTGCCGTCAGTCATTGCTTTCCTGTTTATTCTCTCCAAACAGCAAGCATGTCATAGGAAACATGGACTGACAGCACGGAGAACAGAAGTTATTTGCCATTCTGTTAGTAAGTCCTCTTCACAAACGTGTTGCCACGGGGCTATGTCCCAGAATCCCAGTCTTGTTCTTCGCAGTTGGTTTCCCTTCAGCTCAGTGTTGCACAGCTGTAGGCTTTTTTGGCTGGATACCACTAGGCTCTATCTGAAGTTTTCTGTAAACACCATTGCTGGCTTTGTGACAGACTTGAACAGAGGTGCCCTTTTACTGCTTCTTCTCTTCAGGAAGTCCAGTCAATTAGTCCAAGGCAAAACCATAGATTGTATTTTAGGTTTTTTTCATCCTCAAAACATTGCCAAATACTGACTTTCTGACCTAAGTCATTTCAGCTGAAATTAGTGTTCTCAAGTCTAGGAACAGTTTGCAAAGACAATATGCTGGGACTTTGCAAGTTATAAATTCAGATGTAAGCTCTAGGAGTATTCCTGTATACAATTTTGTCATAGTCTTTCTGTCACTTGAGTAGCTTAATTTTTCTGATCCTTGACCTGTGACCAGTTTGTAAAGAACAAATTTCTTGGTCTGTCTAATGTTCAAGATCATCTAATGTCAGATCTGTTTTGACACATACCTTGCTGTCTTTGAATATCACTTGCTATGGTGTCCTATTTCCTACCAGAAAACTTAAGTATGTCACGATAGACTGCATTTTCTCTCTTAATTCCACTGAAGTGCGGCATCAGAGCAGTCATCTGATGAGACACGCTGGAGTGCTGCTGTGTTTAGAAATGTTTCCGAATCACAGGTGATACCATCCTCAGATTAATATAATACCAACCCCATATAATCTATTATTT